CATCAGGGTTAGCTTCATCTGAAAGGGGCATGGAGCCCACAATGTCAGCCTCTGAGGGCTTGAGGTCCATAGGAAGCTTTGCCTTCCGTCCATACATGACCTCAAATGGAGTACACTTGGTTGAGGCATGCACAGATTTGTGATATGCAAACAGAACACCAGGGATAATCCCCAGAAAGCAGGCCTGGGGGGTTAATCTGGCCTGGGGGGGTTATTCTAGCCTAGGCCAGAGTAACCCCGGGGTTACTCTGGCCGGGGGGGTGAATGGGGGGGTTATTCTAGCCTAGGCCAGAGTAACCCCGGGGTTACTCTGGCCGGGGGGGTGAATCCGTCCTGTTACACCGGGATAGCCATTTTGGAGAAATGGCTGCTTCAGAAGGCAGAAGACTCGATGGTTTCCCCCCATTAACATTCAGGCAAAGGATAATTAACTGTTGGAAGCCTATGTTGTGGAGATAGCCACTAGCCAAGCCCTACAGGTGCTTTGTCGGTCTTCAGCTAACCACCCATCAACCTCCAGGTGTGTTCTGAATAATAGCACTAGGAAATGTTCTCCATAGCCTTTCTGTACAAATGTAACACTTCTGTCCTGGCTGCTCCTTACTCATCTTTTCATCTATTCCTAAAACAAAAATCCTCCCAGTCCTGTCACCAGAAGGTATATGCTTATTTGGGTTTCCATTTGAGGAACACTTCCGTATTCACTGGTATATATATTTATACTCCACTTTTCTCCCCAACTGTGGACTCAAGAAGGCATGCAGCACCATCCTCCATTTTGTCCTCAAAACCACCAGGGAAGGTAGCTTCATCTGAGAGAGAGCAACTGGCCCACGGTGAGCTTCCACGGTTCATCAGGTACTTGAACCCCAGATTTCTGGTTATTTAATTATAAAGCATCACTAGGATTTGGAGACCACTTCACTCGCTAGCTGGCTCTCTTTAGAATGATCCCATTTATTTAATTATAAAACATCACTACGATTTGGAGAACATGCAGGTTTATACCCAGAAGTGACGTTGGTGTGTCGCACAATGTCATTTCTGCCCCTTGCCCGACCTACGAAGCTCCCAGGCAACGGCCTAGTGGCCGTAATTCATGCCCTGTCCCCTGCAGAGGGTTCTACTTTGCAAGGAACCAGATAGCAGGAAGAGAAACTGGGCTATAGTAGCTGGTGGAAAGTGCCATCAAGGTGCAGTCAACTTATGGCTACCCCATAGGGTTTTCAAGGCAAGAGGTCTTCAGAGGGGGTTTGCCATTGCCTGCCTCTACACAGCAACTCTGGATTTCCTTGGTGCTCTCCCATCCAAGGACTAATGAGAGTCAACTCTGCTAACTAGTTCCTGGCCTGTACCATGATTAGATGACTTCACCGTAAATACAGAAGACATCTCCATCCTAGTTTGCCATTGGCTTAGTTAGCCATTGCCTGCCTGTGCATAGCTACCCTGGACTTCCTTGGTGGTCTCCCATCCAAACGCTAACCAGGACCAACCCTGCTTAGCTTCTGAGCTCTGACAAGACTGGGCCAGCCTAAGCCAGGTCACGGACCGTGGTCTATTTGCTAGATGGTCCTGTTTTCCCCATTCCTGGTGTGTGTGTGTGTGTGTGTGTGTGATTCAATCTGCAGAAAAACATCTCCCTTTTCCTAAATGGCCCAACTACACAATTTCAGGTGGCAGCCCTGTTGGTCTGAAGCAACAGAACAAAGTTTGAGTCCAGTGGCACCTTTAATTATACTTCATTAAATGTGTGCATGCACACCAAAGCTTATACCCAGAATTAAACGTTGTTGGTCTTAAAGGTGCCACTGGACTCAAACTTTGCACAAATTCAGTTCATCTTATTCAGAGCCTGCAAAGAAATGCATTTTTTCCTTGGCGGTTTAAAAATGAGACAAACCTTCACTTTGCATTTTAAGAGGTTTTTCTTCCTCTAAGCAGAGAACAGACAGGAGGGGGAAGGAAATCAGCCCATGTCTTTCCAGCCTCATCTTAGCTACCTCTTAAGAAATGCTACAATAGGATGGGCAAGTCCCCCCACTTCTCCAAGCAGGGAATCAAGTTTTGGAGGACTTTAGGCTAGAAAAACTCCAAGTAATTTCCAGGGAGAAGCAACTGGAGACTTCAGGAAATGCTTCTCTGACCTTGCTTGACCTTGTCAGTGGGAGGGGAGAGGGAGAAGATAAAACTCCTGGATGCAAGGAGAAAATTCTCTCTTGTGCTAGGTATATCAAAGAAGGCAGATCTCTAGCTGAGGTATGGGTCAGCCAGCCATTTTGACCATGTACTCGCTTAAAGAGCTGGAGAGATCTTTAAGGTGATGCTGACTCACCTAAGCTTAAGGGGCCTGTCCTATATTGTAACATCTGATAGGGCATGTATATAGAGAGGGAGAGAGGATTTGCATTTTACCCATTTCTTTTGGCTCCTTGCTCAATCTGGTGCTGTGTTTTCAAAGTATGCTTGTGAACATTTTCTTTTTAATAAATACTTAAAAACTTTTGATGCTAGGAGGGTTTCTCTGTACCACATAGACATCCACCATCTTGAACATGCTATTTTAAAAGGGGGCACCAGGGGAAGGCAGGCAGTTGGTAAGCAGCTATTACTCTATGGGTGGACAAGGCATTAAACTGTCCCTGTGGTGGCAAGGCACTGGACAGCTGGTGACACAGAGGAAAGGCCTCAGAACTTGGAAGGGAAGCTGGGTTAGTCTCTCCCTCTACCTTACCAACCCTCACAGCAGATGGGTGGGGTGGGCAGTTTCTACTGAAAAACACCATGGAGAAAGGGTTCATCCCCAACCAAGTTTTAACCTTTAACTACATCAGCAGTGCAATCCTAAACAAATGTATACCCTTCTAAGCCCCTTGATTTCAGTGGAAATAGAAGGGTACAACTCTGCCTACAACTGCATGGTGGGAGATCCAATTATCCCATTTCCCACCTAGATGTGTCTCCTGAGGCTAAACATGGTAGCCCACCTATCCCCAACCTTGGTGTACTCCACAGAGGTGAGACTGAAGGGCTTCCTGGTTCATCCTGACCTTTGGTTTACATATTCTTCTAGAACAAGAGCCACCAACGTTGTACCTGTGGGCACCCCGGCACCCACTGACAGCTTACTTGGCACTCAGGTTGCCAACTCTAAGTTGGGAAATTCCTGGAGAGTTGGGGGGCGGAGCTTGGGGAGGGCTGGGTGTGAGGAGGGGAAGGAGCTCAGCGGGGATGTGATGCCACCAATTCCACCCTCCAAAGCAGCCATTTTCTCCATTTCTCTATTTTCTCTCTGTCATCGGGAGAGAACTTGGAATTCCAGGAGACCACCAGGACCCACCTAGCGGTTGGCAATCCTACCTGGCACCCACCAAGTGTTTGAGAAAGTGGGTGGGGCTGAAGGTGGCTTTTGCCCAGCAGGACGTCTGATGGCTGTTTTAATTTGAACAGCCATTGTTTCAGCGGCAGCTCCAACCACAATGTTGGCTTTATTCTGCACTGTACTTCTAAAGATTATCCCTTTTCTCCCTTGCACTTGAGCTTCCTCTGTGCGGTTGGCTCCGCCTCCGGTGGCAGCCATTTTGTTGTTGTTGACTGTGGCAGCCATTTTATAGTTGTTCACTGTCACCCAGTATCAGAATTCCAAAGGTGCCCACAGGCTCACAAAAGACGGGGACTCAAGTTCTTGAAGCTCTAAGGATCCCCACAACCAGTTTATCCTTGTTTCTTTATTGTCCCACTTTCCTTTTCCCCCAGCTACAGAATTCCTGCCTCAGAAAGAAACTTATAACACGACGCCAGGGAACAGGTGACGCCAGCAGAGCATGGGTCCCCCTTGGAAGGTGATGAATCCAGCCTCCTTTTCTGCAAATTTAATGGTTCTGATCTTTGCTGGCCTGTGCAAAGGTAGGTGTGATGTGTGGAAGTGAGACAACCCTGGGAACACGCCTCTAGCTCCATGTGAGGTTCAGCTCACCACAACAAACCATCATGGCAAGGGAATGACTTCAGTGACGGGTTTTAACACGGGTTTCCCACACCTCTCACCCTGGAAACATCTAGTCAAAGGGTGCGTTCAGACGGGGGTTTACAACGGTTAGGGTGCCGGTTCCAACCGGTGTACTTACGGGCGTTCACACGATGAACATTTGCCTCCCATCCCTAACCGTTGTAAATCCTTTTAAACCGTTGCACTCTGCCACTAGGTCCGAAGTGGTGGTAAACAGAGTGCAACGGTTGGAATCGGTGCACCCCGGCATCTGATCGCTCTCCTCCGTTACAGAGACACTTCTGTCGGAAGCCTGAGGCTTCCGGCTTTCCCTGGCCATTTTTAAAAAAAAACAAGCGATATGCGCTCAGGCGAAGCTTCGCCCTGAGCGGGGTTTCTTTTAAAAGCCTTACTTTAACTTCCTGGAGGAGTACGGGACTACAGGGAGGCCAGGTTGGGCTTTAAACTTTAAAGGTAAGTGCTTACCTTTAAAGTTTAAATGTAAGGGGGGGTTGAGCATGCGCAAAAATCGCCATTCTCTGAATGGCTGCCTATGCGCATGCTCAAACTGTCCTTTAAAAAAAAAAACGCCTACGCCCGCAGTGTGTGAGTGGGCGTCCACCGGAGGCAACCGCAAAATAGAGGGTGAGTGTGATCGCGTTTCTGCCGGCATAAACTGCACCGGTTCCAACCGGTGCAGTTTATGCTGGCAGAAACGCCCCATCTGAACGCACCCAAAGAGTCGCATGACTGGATTGCAGCACATTCACGGCTTTCTTACCTCTGCGAGCGGGAAACCGGAGTAGGGTTGCCAAATCCATCTTCGCCCCCAGCGAGGGACTTTGGGGGGGCGTTTCTGGAGGGGGCGGGGCATCCCTGATGTGAT